TATATATATATATGTTTATATATATATACACATATATAATTTTTCACAGTTTATACCAATTGTAGTATATATTCGTTATATATATATATATATATTGTATATATATATATAATAAACTAGACCAGACTAGGCTAGGCCAGACCAATATAGATTGACGTATACAGTAGCCTTATCCATTTGATTATTGATAGACCGATTGACAACGTCCGCGGAGGAAGGCAGTCGGCAGAAAATTCCACTTCCTGCTAGAAGGCCTTCACGCTGATCGCTTCAAACGCCCAACCGTCGACCGCTAAGCGAAATACTCACATGCTGCCTCTGCGCAGCACACTGAGAAACCTTGCCGTCACGAAATGACGGGGATCCTACATGAATATCAGTATATTTGGCACGGACGCACATTTGCACGCACGCATGCATGCACGCATACACACACACGCACACACACACACATACACACACACACACACACACACACACACACACACACACACACACACAACCAGACACACATGCGCGCGCAGGCGAGCGCGCATGAATACAAACAGATCTCGATGGCGGTCACTGCAAATAGAAACTGGAGATTTAAATGTTCAGTTACTCACACTACGGGTAAGGGGTGATCACACATATATGTATATATGTATATATATCAGGAGTAGATAATAGGCCTATTATCTACTCCTGATATATATATATATATATATATATATATATATATTATTTACCTCTAAACATCGTGTGCAAAGGTGCGTCACCCGTGATCTGTCCGCATATCTCTTTCAGTGAGCTCTTTCTCTCTACGCATCCACCTGAAACAAGGAACTATACGTCAGAGACCGAGCAATTCCACGACCACACACGACCACACACGACAAACAGACAAACACGGATGCGTCTCGCCTTCACTAATCTCGTTGATTCTCCCGACGTTTGACGTCGCTCGTACATCCCAACTCAACGTTTGACATTAAGCCCACCGTGTAACAAGTTGTCCGCATTAAACTTTGATTGGAAACATTTCTTGAGTGATTGTCTTGGATGACAACAAGTTGGCGTAATCTTGTTAAGAAATACGACTATCGCTGCATAGTGTGAGAGACGACTCGTTACAACTTACAGTGTGATTTTCTAACTATCGATTAAATTTAGTATTGAACTGAGTGTCATATTGATGAAATAGTGTCTAGTTAATTATGCAAGATATGTAAATCAGATATATAACTAAATGCACAACCCGTCCGTTAATTTTTCCGTTCAGGTGCGATTTTGTAAATAATTCATTAATTCATTCGTTCGTTCGTTCGTTCGTTTATTCAATCAATTATTCATTCATTTTTCATGCAACAACTAATTTATTAATTTGTACGTTCCATCCGCTTATCCCTCCGTTTGTCCGTCGGGCCCTTCGTTCGTTCATTCGTTCACTTATTAATTCACTCGTTCAGTCGTGCATCAATCTTTTCTGTTCTCCACAGATCTGTCGATCGATACATATTCATGAATTTATTTGTTTATTAATCAACACGGCACTTGATGTATAGATGCAAAGTAGTAAATAAGGAGCATCCATTAGTTTCTGTATTCAGGTGTCACTAGCTTCTATATAATGATGATACAGCGCCTGCTAGTTATAATGCAAGAACGATGCATGGGTGATTTCAGTTCCGCCTATGGTCGGATCACATCCTCGCAAGATTTTGGAGCAAGTCGACGTACAAACACAATAGGTAAAGTAAGCGTGACTTATCGGTTTTCTGCCTTCGACTGAAATCTCAGACATTGCCAGAGATTTCCAAGTAATACGCGCATAAGTGGCTCTATGCGTGAGTATTACTGCTGTATCGCAGGCAACTGCGGCCCCGAAAAGCCGTAGTTAGACCTCCTATGTAGCAAAGCCACAGTGGGGGCTGTTACGTACGCGTGGCTTAGCCATTGTACTAATTAATGCGCAAATTGCCTCCAGCGGTTTTTTCACCGGGTAGGGTCCGGTACGCATCTCTTCAGCTCTGGAAACACAATGCAGGGAGGAACGGGCGGACAGATGGACATGCGGAGAGAGAGAGTGAGAGTCACAGCGAGAGAGACAGAGAGAACGAGCGATATAAGAGAATAGATAGATGGACGAAGGACGGACGGGTAAAGAGACGCACGGGTGGGCGGTCGGACGAACAGACAAGCAAACAAAAACAAACTAAGAAATAAACATTCAGGTAGGCAAACGCGATACGCAGACAGACAAATAGTCACATAGCTAACAGCTACATCGATATATTTTAATAAAGATTCTATATATCCTCCCATAGCGACTGATTTAGCTCTATGCTATTATCGGCCGGCTGGACTAAGCCACGTGAACATGCCTGGAGTTTCTACATTCGCTACAAACGCTAGGTAATTCCGAGCATAAAGCATTGGGGCCTTATAGGCACCCTATAATGCGCCCGTCGTTTGTGGCCGTTGTTAGGGAGCGCGTCGTGTATGGTGGCTACTGTTACTTCTCCAGATATTGGCGAGCACGGGGCGCCGCAGCCTGAACACGCACAGTGCTCGCGTATTATGTTCGCTCCTAATCGCAGGCAATCGCACTTGGTTGGGTGCGGAAAACGAGAAGGAGAAGAAGGGGGGAGGTGGAGGAAGGAGAGGAGGTGGAGGAGACCGAGGAGGTGGAGGAGACCGAGGAGGTGGAGGAGACCGAGGAGGTGGAGGAGCGGAGGAGGTGGAGGGGGAGGAGGGGGAGGAGGCGGAGGAGGCGGAGGAGGCGGAGGAGGGGAGGTGGAGGTGGAAGAGGTGGAGGAGGTGGAAGAGGGAGAGGAGGGGAGGGGAGGAAGGGTGGAGGGGAGGAGGCGGAGGTGGAGGAGAGGGAGGAGGAGGAGGAGGGGAGGAGGTGGAGGAGGGGAGAGGAGGTGGAGGAGACCGAGGAGGTGGAGGAGACCGAGGAGGTGGAGGAGACCGAGGAGGCGGAGGAGGCGGAGGAGGCGGAGGAGGGGGAGGTG